AAAGGATTACCTAAACCAACACAAATTTCTATTTTTGTGATGGAGGAGCCAGAAAGAATCTGACATATTTTCTGGATGATAGTCAGAAAATTTTATTTTTATTTATGAAAAGAGTGGATCTGGACTAACAGGAAAGACACAAAGATTATGCACCACTCTTAAAAGTCACATTTTAGAGCAAAAAAAAAAAGATATATCCAACATCTTTCCATGGCATTCCTCAAAATATCACTTGAATGCAAACAAAACCTAGTAACAAAAGTTTGCTAATAGTGGAAATTACAGGTTTTTCCAACAGGGGACCACCAAAGCTAACACATGTGTATTCATCCTGCAGACAGCTGAGCCCAGCAAGAAGTTTTTTGCTCCCTGGTCTGCTCCGAGCTGCTCCTCAGGATTTTCCGACTGAGTTGGGTTATTGCATCCCTCCCTTCCCTGCCAGAAGCACTGCTTGTGGGGACCACTCCCTAAAGTACAAAGGAAAAAGAACCAAGTTATCAAAGTCCTGCTGTTTAATCTACTACAAGTAATTAAACTCATTTTGACACATGTGGCTTATGAAGTACTTGATCATACATTCAGCTGGGGGCAAGCTGGAGGTGGCAGCCCCCTTCACCAGCACGGCTGGATCTGGAAGAGGACATCAGCCTATGATCTAGTTTAGGATGCTTTACACAGTGGAGCATCTATACCTGTGTCATTCCCAGCCTTTCTCATGGAAGTAGATTTTTAAAAGAAAACACCAAAAGAACCACCATAGGAGTGGCAGAGTATTTCAGAGATGCCAATTTCCCAAGGAGGGCAGTTTCAGAGAACAGAACACTAGGAAGTTGCAGTGTGTTTATATACGATCCACTTTTTTAAAACAAATTATCAGCAGAAAAAAAAAGGCGGCAATATCCCAAGGCAACAGAAAGGAAATCAAGTGTATCAAAGCTATTCCTGAACTCCCATTACATATCCACTTGGCAACGCTGACTTAAAATTATACTACACCATTCATTTTTACTCTCATGATGCAAGGGGAAAGAGAAGAAAAAACTCCCCCCATTACCCCCCTCTTTTTATTAAAATATCTTAAAACCAGATCTGTATTGTTACTGCAAGGTTACTAATGTTAGGACTGTATATATTTATAGATGAGGTATTCCTTTCTGTCTGAAGCACATGAGGTAATAAGTAGCTGGAATTGTCATGGTGATTTATTAACATATTCTCTAGGAGAAGCCCTGCACCTGCGTCTATGTAGACAGAACACCCACGAAGGCTGAACTCACCCTTACACAGCCCACAAGATCTTAAAAGGAAATGCTCCAAATTTAGACCTGCTCCAACAGGTGTCTTTTACTGTCTCTCTTTGCATGACCATAAATATCAGAGGTGGAGCAAAAAGCTCCCCATCCATTGTAATCGTGCTTTGAAAACAAATACCTTTGCCCCCTCCGAAAGCAATGGCAGCAGCTATGGAATTCTCATCATTTCCTTGCTCCTTCATCCTGCCAAGACCCAAGTCAGAGAGATGTCACTGGCAAAACCAGGCTCCAGGGATCAGCACATAACTTTATGTTTTTCTCTTCAAAGGGCCCTAAGCTGGCTCCGAAACTTCCCTAAACTGGCTCCGAAACTTCCCTAAACTGTATTTCTTTCATTCCAGTATCTCATCTTGCAGCTATTTGCCAAAGTGAATGACATGCACAGGCTGTTCATGGCTTTTTATAAGCTCTCATTACCCAAACAGGGAATCATTTCCTTGAAAATGCTTTCCCCAGCAGCATTAGTCTCTCTAGGCACCACCAATAAATTTGTCTCCTGGCCCATCCTGATGTACAGCAAAATGTGCTTGGATGGATGTATTTGATACTGGTTTTCACTTGTTTATTTGGGATAGGATGCTACTTGTGAGACTTGTCACCAGGGCGATTAACAGCACACGGGAAAAGAAAAAAAAAAAACACAAAAAAACAACCAACCAAACCCCTTTTAACATCCAAATGGAAAGCTTTGCCAGATTTGCTCTGGCAAGCAAAGGAGCAAAATCCAGATTCCTTTCTGTGGTGTAACAAGTAGAAGCATTCTCAAAACCAAAATGGCTATGCACAACTCCCAAAACCCCAGAACAAATCAAAACAACAAATCTCGAAAAGAAATTCTAACCAAACTGAAAAAGAAAATAACAGGTTACACCATGAACTTAGAAATCCTATTAAAATGTTTTATTTTGTAATACTTCTGTTAGTACAAAATACCTGAGTCAAGACCAAATAAATATTTAATATTCAACAGGTAGTCAGGAGAATGTGTGTTTTCCCCTGTTCCTCCCCACCAGCTGCTCTTTTACAGCAGGAAAGTGAAGAGCATGAAATCCAATGATAGGAAGAAGGCAAAGGTCAGGAAAAAGGTTTTTCTTCAAGGATTTAAATTAGCGTTCTACAGCTTTGTATGTTTTGTCAACACAATTTCCCTCCTGTGAGGAGGGGAAGCCAAAGGTCCTTTGAACCATTTCTGTATGGGATCTAGATTTTTACCAGTAACAAGCTTCCTAGCTTTAAAGAAAAGCTCATCTTCCGTCTTCCCATTCCTTTCACCACTCTCTCCCTGTCCCTCCTTCCACCACCCTCCTTAAAGAGAAAAAAAGAAAATGGAAAAAGAAAAGGAACTGAAGAGCAAAACAAGCAATGAAGGAGTTCTGGAGTTCATGTAACAAGACCACTATAGCCCTTCAAAGGGACCATTAAAAGCAAAACAAACAAGAGCAACACCCTCAAGATGTCTATTGCATTTTACAGAGCAACAAATGAGTGCACTGCAAATTCTCCCATCTTGCCACAAAATCTGTTATTTCATCAAAACAAAGCCAGAGATCAAGAAACAGCCAACAAGGTAGCTGAAAGTCAGTCACTTCAAGTGATCCATGAAGAAAACGAGATTGAGCTTGTTCCTTTTTTTTTTTTTTCCCCCCTCTCCTTGCTTTACTATGATGTATTAAAAAAAGACTTCAAAGATCATTTTAAGCATCACTTTTGTTTCTCACATGAGAAAGTCAGGGCTTGAGCAGGTCTAGACAACACAGTGGTTAAACATCATTAGCTGCCAACACTTTGTCTTCCTAGAGCTCCCACAGTTGTTGCTACCCTGGAATTGCCTCATTTGAAAATATTTGACAATTTCCATATACTATTTTGCTTCCCTCAGAGCTTCTCCAAGATGGCAGCTGTAAAACAGAGAGTGCATGAGCATCCACAGTAGGCAGTTTCAGATGTCAGAGGCTCACCCAGGTGGATGCTGGCCCAATGATTCTGCCTGATGCTTCAAAGCATCTTTTTTTTAATTATTTTTTTTCTTCATTTTAACACGTAGCAGATCTCTCTCTGTACTTCTAGACTATCCTGTCATCTGTAGGCTTTACTTGGAGGGTGGCTAACACTTTACATTCAATTTCATAGCTGTGCATATGGAAATGTAAGAAAGACAGGGAGACATACAGATGGGATAAAAATCTGTATATCACCAACATTACATTTACCAAATCCAAGCAGTTATGCTCAAGAAGATCTGCTGATGACAACGTAACTGAACAGGTGCTCCTGAAGGCAAAGTTTGGCCTGGAGGATAAAGACTGATTAATTTAGCTGTAGGGTAACAGAAATGAGAACGCTTTGGTTAGATGAACCTGTAAAATCAGAGGTCAACCAAGATCACACATGTTACAGCAATTTCTAAGTCGTTATACCATAGCCACCCACTACTGATATAAGAAAGCCGTAAAGACAAGCCCATCACTATCAGTAGATAAAACATTCCTCCCTAGTCCAAAATAGATTTATTACTCTCCATTTGCACAAAAACAAAGAACGCAACAGCGCTGAATTTCCTACACTATGCAGATCTGCTGCTGTGTACGTACAGAAGGTTTGCCTGCAGCTTGGTCCCTAACATGTCCAAGAAAAACCCAGGAGAGAGCCAGCGGGAACACGCTGGGACAGGCTGTTTCCCTCACCGCAGTTAACAGGGCTCACTCTTGACCACCTTCCTTCTAGGGTAATCCTCAAACTTGGGCAGAAGAGACGTCATCTTTCCATAGACACACAGCACCTCTCTCGCATCTGGTAGCGGGATCAAGGAAAGATTACACCTAGTTGCAGCCTACAGCATACACCAGGGGCACTTTCACAGAAGCTATTTATCTGAGAGCAGACCCCAGATGTCCACATCCTTGCCTTACAAGGTCCACATAGATGAATTTCCCAGCTTTCAGATGGATGCCCCACAGGTGTCTAACCTCACAGAGGGGAAAGTCTGACTGTCAGCCTGGGACAGACTACAAAGGCTGGCCCCTCAAGGAGCCAGCAGAGCTTTCCACAGAACATGTCAGACAATGTGTGTCTGAGAGAACTAAGATCACTGTACAGAATAGCATAAAGAGCAACAAGCATCCTTCTACTAATGGATATGAATTACACTGTGCAGGAAGTTCAGCTAGTCTGGCGTATTTAATAAATTCATTCAAGTCCCCCGTGCAGTTTAATGGTAGATATAACATTGATTCTCTAATGAATCTCTTTAGGCCTGGAAAGATAGCTGAGGTTTTGTGCCTTATATACAGAAGAGTGTCATGAAATCCTGAAAGCCTCTCAGATACTCTGTAAATCCATTCGAGACTCAGCCAATGAGACTAGCATTTCATTTACAGACATAGGTCTACCACTTCTGAATATCTGAATCTAAACTGCATCTGAACTACAGTAACACTGGCTTCATTTCAAGGAGAGTTACCTTTTCACCCATTCCTTTTCTTTCCCTGGATTTTTTCACAAAGGTATCAGGCAAGCCAATCAACTGATTGCAATGATGTAATGAATAATAAAATATTGCTCCCTGAATATTACAAAAGCTGCTTTTCCTCTTCCCTTCTCATCCTACTTTGTCTTTAACCATCACTCCTAGTCCACAGTTATTTTCCTCCATCCCAAGTTCAGTTTCTATTACAAAGACTCATAAGCTTACTTCTGTAGGATGGATCTTTTAATGACAAGTTCTTCATCCAAGTCAGCTTCATTAGCCATGAAGAGCAATCTTTTTCCTGTGTCATCCACTCCAATGAAGTCGCGCTGCTCCACTGAAGTAGAAAATCAAACACAATCATTATATAACCATGTCTTAATGTAGGCTGGAAAGAAAAAGTGAGACTATCGACCACCCCCGAAATATGAAATACTAAGTTTCAGAGTAACCCAGCAAATCAATGAATTTGAAAAAGTTATCCACAATATTTATTAACTTCTTTTCAGTCAGGGTAGCTGTTACATATCATGACATTCAAAACATTGGCCTGCAAGCTTTTTGCATCCTTTTTATGAAGATGCCAACTGCAGGTCCTGACATGCAACAGTTCACATTGAGCTGTGCTTTCCTTCTCTCACTCTATTTTTTATTTTTTTTTTAAAAAAAAAACCCCAACAAACTGCTACCTGCATTTACACAACAAATCCAAGGCAAGCAGAGAGTTATTAAAAATCCAGCTGCTTCTTCCTCATCATAAATCACTCCACATTAGAATTAGGTGGTCTGGAAAGCATTATGATTTCAGTTAAGACATAACTACTTTGCAACTGATCTCCTATTTCAGATAAATACTGATGGCAATAGAAAACCTAAATCACACACACAAACGCACATAAAAGTATAGATTCTAAGACTCCTATCACTGATGTTTCTGGGTGAGTTAACTTGGTTTAAGTATCTATTCACAAAACTGCCAACCAAAGGAATACATAATAGTCACATATATGATTGTGGCAGTTCCCATCACAATCAGTGACTGTGCATCAACAGTGACTTTGGTCTACTGAAACCTCTTCCGCAACATTTGAATACAGTGGTGGCAATTATTCTAACTTGCACTTTGTAGTATGAGCCATCACTCTAGTGGCAGCCATACGTGGAACAAAGGCTGTACAAGAATGCCACGGTACAGTTCTAACAAAAACCTCTTTTCTCCCACTAAATACTGTTATTTTGGGCCAAACTGGCAAATATTCAATCTCTTAAGTTCTAAGCTTTTAACCACGTTGGAGTAACAGCGTGCTCTATAAGTAGTTAATTCTCTAAGATCTTTTCTCAGCCAAACTATTTTTAACTCTATTTTCCCCAGTTCAGCCCCATCCCTTATTTTACTTCTACCTGTTCCTTTAGAGTTACCGTGGCAATAACCACTATCAAAATACAGTCAAATCTACACAACTGTTGAAAGATTGGCAGTCTTTGATCCAAGTGATCAAGCACACCCTCTTCAGAAATCCCCCCCTCCCTTCTCAGAAATTAATCATACAGCAAAGAAGTACAAAAATAGGCCTGAACATGTAACACTATGACAAATTAAGTACAATTAGGATCAAGCTCGCTTGTGTAAAAACTCAGGAATAAGTCTTCAAAGCAGTGTCGATTCTCACGCTAAGGAGGGCAACGAAGTCTGAGAGTACAGGCTGATCAGCCATCGCCACTGCCACCTAACTAGGATCTCCCGACAGGCTAGAAACACAACAGTGACCGCTCTTTCTCCATCAAAGTACCAACACTTCACTCAAAGTTCAGGTCGTGGCTGCCCATCTCCTGATCATTCCTACAGTAACATAACACACTGGTATGGCAAAGCTCTATGCAGCAAGAAAAATTGAAAAAGAAAACTTGATGAAAATGGGACCAGGCACATGACTGCCACCAAACCAGTTTCTCTTGCTTGTGTGGATAGGCAACAAACAGTCAGCAAAACCATGTGAGAGCACTGTATTTTTTTTGTAGTGGATGCCAGGTCAGGTTTTTCCCTGTACACTGGCAATAAACAGCATTACTTTCCCAATTCAGAAAAAAACAAACCAAAACTTATTACTAACATCAATTACCCAGAAATACAAGAGTGCTGTTTCAAATCACACTGGCATCACTTAGTGAAGAAAAAAAATAAATATAAGAATAAATACATAACTAGTTTACAAAATCCCTGCAAGGAAAGTATGAGAAAAATGTTAAAGCTGCAGCGATGCTAATAAAAAAAATGTTTAAAGTATAAAAATGGAATGCAGGATGTGTTTTGCCTCCTCACGATGGATAAATAAAGATTTGACATGGCTATTGCAATTTATTAATTACCTTAGAAACTAGATCCCCATCAATTTTAAGGGCTTTAATGACCTAAAGGAATCATGACATCACAAGAGAATGGAAGTTGAGCAATTCAGTGATGAGAAGAAATAATTTTCAGTCAGACTTTCTAAAATGGTTTTTAATACATAATTCTAAAATGTTTCTAAAATGCTTTTCCAAACATAACCAATTGACACTTGGGAAAAAGGCACCTTTGTTAAAGATTCAGTACCCCCACCCTTTCAATCAAAGGGAGAGAATTCACACAATGCAGCCTGCAAGACCACCAAGAGGTCTTCTGGCAAACACAGGGAATACCAGTGATGACATGCCTGCTGCTTTCAAGACAAGAACAACAAGCAGGAAATATCCCCATCTTTTTGGCCTTTCTTTACACACAGAAAGGTTCAGACACTCTTTTCCACTCAATTCCTTGCAGGTCATCTTTAAGCACATGGCTCCATTCTGAGCATCTGAACTCCTGACACTCTCTGTTTATTTGAGTTACTACCATTCACTAGGACTCTACATTTTTTCTTTGTCATGCCTCTTATTGATCAATTAAAAAAGCCAATGTGATTATTATTGTCAATACATGATCCCCCTAAACATAAAAGCCAAGGAACTTCACCCTGTAACTAGCAGCTGAGCTATGTCAAGCATTTCAGGGAACCATCAGTATGAATTTATAGCTGCTTAACACTGCAATTCATGCTAATTTAAAAACTGTTGCTTATATCACAGTTCTTGAATGTTCAACAATATCCTGAAAGCAACAACTTTGTATCAGACTCCATGACATACACAAAATAAAAGTCTTGTTCCTCCTTTTTAAAAAATGAATGAATTTGTAGGAAGGGTGAGATAAATAAATAAAGCTGCAAATATATGTAGTGGCTCATCAGGACTAAGGATCCATTTCCTAATACTAACCCTTGAACGGTACAGTGCAAGTACATAGAAACATGCATATCTTTTGATTTAGAGAAGCCAAATGCTATTGTGCCATGTACTATGAAAAGCTGCCTAATACATTCCATGTTAATATTTTTGTCTTCAGTTGCCTATAAACTTCATCCAGTTTTAACTGTTTGTCATGACATTTCCAATGGCAGGTGCCTGCCTTAAGAGGAACATTTGGAAAACTTCAGTGAAAACAGTTTAGCTGCTTCTAAAGCTAAAGAAAAAAAAAAAGTGTTTAGCCTAAGCTTATACAGTTAGACGATCATTCCCTTGAAAAGCTCTGGTATTCCAGTTCTGAAAGAAGCAGCATGACATTCAGGAAGTGCTCCTGCCCTGGGTATCAGGAGCATACTTTTTGCCATCTTACTCCATTACAAATTTTTTTTAAATGGCAGTTTCAAGTGCTCTTTCAAGGTTTCTATTTTTGCTACGGAAATTTCTGCATATTTTATTCTTAAGGAAAGGTTGTTTAAATTCCTCAGCTCCTAGAACTGATGAAATAGCAGGTGCCAGGCAGTACAAGCAAAGTACACAAGCCACAAGGCTCCACAGCCACGCTGTGATGACTGCTCCAGGGGAAAGAGCTTGAGGACTCTGCAAGACAGACTGGAAGGAAGAGAAAGTAGTAGTCCCTGAAAACTGGTGGAAATTGGGACTGTCTGTGACAGGACACTGGACCACAGAGGCAGGAATCAGAAGAGAATTAAAAAGATGACTGTGGGCAGATAAATGAAGCAGGTTGAGATGAAAAGTCAGAAGTGGTACAGGGGATGTGACTGGTAGTGAAAGAAAAGAGTAATATATGAGAAAGAGAAGCTAGACTCGTGACAAGGATCCGTGAACGAGACTAAGCAAAGAGAACAAGAATGGAGGCTCAAGTGGAAAGAAGCCAGCATGGGAAGAGAGACAGGGATGAGCTAAGGATGACGTTGACAGCAATAAGGTGCATTCAGTCAAGTAGGAATGAAAGGCAGGAAGGTCTGATGCTCCCTAAAATGTACTGCCCCTCTCCAGAACCTGAGGAAGAACAAAAAATTCCTGTCTCAGCACTCCTTTCCTTTTACCAAATGACTGAAAAAGGTCTGGTAGGGTTCATGTCTCATCTGAGGCAGCTCATAGAAAACAACTTACTAGTGCTATCCACGACAGCTCAAGTAGAGTAGTTTTGAGTGGGAGACCTTCGCATCCAGTTCCACAGAAAGGCACTGTGGGTGTCAAAACACTTCCACATAATGGAATTTTAACGGTTTCAAGTTTGGTCTTTTACAGAGCCGAGAAATCATACACAAATTTTAACAAGTCATGTGGGAAGAGTTATGCTACAAAGTCAAGCACGCAGACATCAAAAAACAAGCAAATTAAGAATGCATGTGCAACCCAATGTGTTTACATTTGCAAAGAGCCTTCAGATGATCTTGTTTATCCTCACAGACCTCCTCACCCCTGCCCTGTGTGCTCAGAGCTCACGTACTGGGCAGCTCCATGACGTTTAACCATACACCCATTAGTTTACAACTCCCAGATGCTCAACTCTGTAGCTGTAGTAGTGCTCCTGACAATGTTTTATGTGCCATTATCACTTAGATTGCCTTTCCAAAAACAGGGGGACTCTGAGCTGTTTGAGAGTCCAAGTCCTAAATGCTTTCAGCCCTACTAACCTTACACTTTGCTCCAGAAAATCTTTTCATGCAGAGTCTAAGCGGCTTTCTTTTAAAAACACATTTCCTCCACTTTCAGACACACACGTAGTCCAACGGCTGGCTTGCATTTCACTCCTCTCTCAAACAGTTTGAAGCTACGCTTTCTTATTCATATTACTGTAATGCCTCTGAGCTTTAATCATAGACCAGGACCCACTAAGCTGGCAATAATCAAGCCTCAGAAATTTAACAAGTATCATCAAAAGAAAACGAGAGGTATGGTATGGGAACAACTGTATGGTATTTAGTACTTTTGGCATATAAGTAAAACAGGGATAACAGCCCTGCCCTGCCTTACAGCAGTGTTGTGAGAATAGATACATTAAAGATTACAAGGCACTAACTAAGATATTATGGTAAGAGGGACAAGATAAGCATCTAACCAAGTCCTTGAAATCAGTGGGAGTTTTGCCTAGCAAAAAGCTCCTGGATGCGATCTCAGAAAAGTAATTCAGTACGTATCATAAGAGGGTCAAATTTCTAGAAGTATTTGTTACCCACTGAACACTAGTCCCTACAGTCAATGGTAAAATTCCCAGCTATAATCTGGCTGATGCTTAGTGCTCTTGAAAAGCCTAACAGTTTCAATGTTCATATGCTACAAAAATTTAGGGTTTGATCCAAAACTCACTGAAGTCACCTGGAGCTTTTCCCTTTAAGTCTTGTGAGCTTTGGATCAGAGCCTGCAAGATTACACGAGTCTAATACTTAATTCTGAGCTGGAAAAAAACAAGTCACACCCCCACCAGGGAATCTGAGGAAAAATTGGGTAGCTGTACCTTTTTTATTTCTTGTGCTCTGGGATTGATAACTAAACATATCATACATACCAGTGGTTTCTCTATCATTTATTAATAAATAAATATATGCATTAATAAACAAATATATGCATTCCTATCTACATACCCGGCTTTTTTTTCCCTTTCTGTCCTGGTACCACTTCTGTGGGTTCATGAGTTTTCTTCATTAACATGGAGAGGGTAGCATCATGTGTCCGAAAGAGGTCCACAACTTTATATAAATCAACATCTGTGATCAGATCGCAGCTCAACACCAAGACATCAGTCTGTCAAAGAAGAAAAAAATCCAAAACTCTTAGGACATACAAATGACCACATACTAATTAGCATTTGAGGACTCAACAACAAATATACCCATAGCTTCCCCCATGCCTTTTTTTTTTTTTTTTTTAACTTCCACGGGCCCTGCCATATTCTGCCAAAAATAGTTACTGGTTTTTACCAGTCCACTTTCTTGAGTCCTACTGTTGCTGAATTAATTATTTGGTTAATGCTTATCCAGCTCTGGACCATAAAGAATATGTGATCATCATCAGCTCCTAGAAGGAACCAGGACACAGAAGCCATGGCTTTCAAGACTGCCATGAAATTCTGCAGTATTTACAGCAGCTACTTTTAGTTACATAATGATGTAGAAAAGAAATCTTTCTGAAGAAATCTTTTTTAGCTGACTTTGCATCTGGCTACAAACCACTGCAAAAGATATTTAAACTATGTTATTTTATCAGGGGAAAAAAAGCAAAGAGTATCTACTTTACTCAGTAATTGCACTGCGATGGTGGGCTCAGTTCAGATATATATTTCATAAAACCAGCAATACCCTATATAAAAATTAAAAAAAAAAAAAAAAGGAAGTTATGTCCTATTTAGTAACAGGCTTGTATTTAATTTTTATCTCAAAGGATTCCAAAGTGCCTTACAAAGTATTTAAGAGAACTGCTGCATGCATCAGAGAAACATTGTCACTTATTAAGCAAGACGTAGCAGCTTCATTAACCACACACACTATCAATACGCTCTGGCTAAAAAGTCTAACTTCAAAATAATTTTCTGTATTTCACATGGGTTGTGGAATGTACTGCCAAAAATTTACAATTCAGCAATTACCTTCATTTAAATTAATCCAACATATTATTCGTGCAGCATGGCTTACAGAAAAGCAGCAAATTTCCACTTTACTTTTTGTTAACGATCAACCTTCTAAATGCGTCTCAAGAAGATAGCATTTCTTTCTTGACATTTTCGCTTTCTGTGCTACTATTTACTATGGTAAGCCTCCCTGCAGAGCAGGACATGGCTTTCTAGTTTTGCCTTTTTAAAAGACATTATTTAATAAGAGGGACACTAGAAAATACTTTGTGAAACCTGAGTTGATTTACTCATGGAAGATCTGTAATTCTACTTTTACTTTTGAAAACTATCTTGGTTCAAAGCTAACTAGTTCAGCATTGACCTTCTATTACAGGACAGTTTATTATAGAAAGGTTTGCTTTACAGACTTCATCTAATACTAGGAGATTTCACGTGGTAGGTGAGACTGAGGTCTGGTATTTACATTATTTGACAGGTTCTCCTACAAATGCTAGGCAGTTTCATGTGTTTACCAGTAAGTCATCATGTCACAAACTGTTAGAGCTGCTGATTTGGCATGCAAAAGGTCAAGCTCTTCAATTTTCATTTGATTTCTCCCCACTGTACCAAGAAACACCTGGCTGCTTTACAGGAACAATGAAATGTGCAGGTTGAGAATTTTACGTGTTCAAAACCCGACCTGCATTGCCCCTTTTAACTTATTTTCAAAATGTGTATTTTATATTACAGTTTTACCCAGAAGAAGTGCTTTAATTATTACTTCTCTAAAACAAACAACATGCACACATCGGAAAAAAAACCCAAACAACAACTCAAACCACTAAAGCAAGCTGCCCAGCACTCTGGAGCAGCCCTGCTACAACATTCCAGTGTGTACAAAGAAAGTAAGAAAAAAATGCAGCTTGGTATGGAAATAAATCTCCTTCATAACTGTAAATAGTGAAGAAACACATATTAAATACCCTAGAAAATCCTGAAAAATTTTCAGATAGTCTATTTTCACAAGAGCACAAAATCAGTTACAATATTTGCAGAAAAGGCCAAAAAGGTATCCAAGATCCGTATAGAGAAACCTGTATTTTTCATACTCAGTTTGTAGAAGGAAGAGATCGCCAGCTTCAAATCTAAATGCATTCATTCCAGTAGTGAAAATAAGAGATAATAATAAAAAGACAGAGACAGACACACCAATGGACTTATCCTAAGAACAAGTATCTGGACTTCTACAACAAACCTTGTAATTATTTCACATTTTAATAAACGCTTTAATCTGTCACTATAGCAAAAACCCAACAAGCATTTCATAGTTATGAACAGGCTCCTGGGTTTTTTCTCCTCGCTATAGGACAAGGTTTTTGCAAAAACTGAATGCAAGACCCCTGAGGAGCATACGGGAACAGAACCACCAAATGTCTGGTTGCCATCTGTTCTACCCATTTACTCTCCCAATATGTAAATAAACGTCAGTGAGCGCAGGGACCAGTGAAACACACAGTTGCTCTGTAAAGCCCACATTTCTGCCTCTCCTCCTGATGAGCAGAGCAGTGGCCTCAGAAGCACGCTGAGAATACACCATGAAAGGCTCTTTCGGGACTTGACAGCCTCCCCTTTGAAACACCACCCCCCTCATAAATAAAGCCCTCACTGTCTAATGGATGCACTTTTTTTCCAGTGTACAACTCCTGAACGAATAAACTAATGGCTGAATGAAAAAATAAACTATCCTAGAACCCTAGCAGAAGAGTGTGTTTTTCTTTATGTTTTTAGGGTGGGCGTAGAAGAAAGAAAATAAATGGTAGAGCTTGTGGGTTTTTTACATATATACATGCCAAATAAATACAGTGAGCTTTTCCCAATGAACCAGATACAAAGAAGAGAAGAACTAACTTACTACACACACTCATGTGCTAACAAGGGGTATGTGAACATACTTGACTTCATGAATTATGCAAACACCTAAGTACACACACACATACAGCTCTTAATGAAATACATGTAACAATGATTACATCAACCCCAAACTATTATACAAACAGATGATAAGAATCAACATGAACTGATTAAAAAAAACCCAGCAAGCACACACCCCAATCAGAACCACTGCAAAGGAAGAAAAATGCATGCACAAATGCAATATCAACACCCATGACAACCACTGGAAGGACAAGGCAAGGGTCTCAACTCAAGGAGGACCATCTCATGGATGGAGCATGAAACAAATGCTTGGAATTTCTGGCATTTTCCTGCTCTGCCAAGCTTGGTATGTGCCATTTTGTTTACTACTTTTAAGGCACATAGGAGCCCTAGTCACAGACCAGGGCTCTACCACAGAAGCTGCTGTACAGACCAGGTGAAAATATCATCAAGCATAATAAAAGAGAACAGCAAATTACTTTTTCGGTTGGGAAACACAAGAAAACGCTGCAGTGCTACTCGGGTATAAGGACAGCAGCCCTAGTTGCTGACAGCACAGCTCACATTTTTTGTAGCATCACAAGAACCACAGAAAAGACAACGAGAATATGACACTCCTTGGAAGAGTCACCTGGGCCTCTGTAATCCCATTTAACCTCAGATTTGCAATTTACGCACTCAAATTCGGAATTTAGACTCGGCTGCTGATCACTGGAGAAAAACAAGGTCCTGCAGAGATCATCCCACCTATGATCCAAGTTTCAAGATGTGTCTCTGTCCCTGCTGACCATGGATGGAGCCCTGGGCTTCCACTGTAGCCATCACTGAACACAGAGTGTTCAGTCAAGTACGGAAACAGAGTGCTTAAGGCCTCCAAATCTCCACTCTCCCTTTCTAATGCTGGTTAACAGCACTTCACCATCAAATGTTTCCAAACTATGAAAAGCTCAGATATCATGAGATAACTTACAAACTCAATCTGGATAAGTACAACACTGTAACATAAAACATCAAGAGATTTATACAAAACAGAGAAAAAAGAGAGTAAAGAAAAAACCCTCAAAAATCAACATGTCAACAATTTTATTAAACCCAGCACAATATGGAAAATCTACACAAAAACAAGACCAAAAAGCAGAATGTTTCAAGAACTTAGTTCAAGACAACCAATTTAAAAATAGAAAACATGTCTCCAGTGGAACTAATTCATACCACAGATCAAAAGATGGATGCAATTATATGCTGTAATATACCAGCATAAATAAAAAGCCTTGGACTTTCTCACACCCTGCATACAAAGGCAATGCTAAAAACTCTTTTATATTCAGCAATAATTGCTGGATCCCTTCTGTTCAAACAGGAGATATCAAGGTTACCACAGATAGCTGGCAGCAAATGACGAATTTTTAGTGGTATTCACTATGCTTTTTCTATCAAGTATAGACAAGGGCAGGACCTCATAGCCTAAACTGCTGATGGTCTCAAAAACTGTAGACGAGAAAATGAGAAAACATGTGTTGCAAGGAAATCTCTAATTTGAACAAAATCAGCCTCAAGAGAAAGACAAAAACAAACGTCAGATTGCATTATAAACAGAAAAGAAGCAAAATATCCGTAAGCAGTAGAACCAGCTCCTAACAGCACTGAAGACAGACAAAACATTGAAGTTAAATGCTAAAAGTTTCCAGTTGCACAGCATTACAGCTAAGACTTTGACAGGAAAAGAAAAAAAATAATCAAGATATTAGAGACTCTGTTCCTACACTCAGCTTAAGTTAACACATGCACAAACAGAGAACTTTGCATCACTTCCTGTGGTGTCACCATACAGCAGGGGAGAGGGGAACAAGTTGTAATTACTGCTGGAATTAAGACTGAGTTTTATACACAATAGCCTGGAACTTCACCCACATGTTGCATTAACAGCAGGGTTTGTGTGTAATGCTTTTATTATTCTAAAGAGTGGAAAGGGAAAAACAGTTTGGCTGTGGGCAAGCGATCTGATTGCTTGTTAGTATGCTCCAGGCAAAGCCAAAGATACCTCCTAGCAATTGCATTACTCACCACTCTTTAGATCAGAAACTTACATCCAAGGCTTTAGAGAAACCCTTTTTATCTCAGTCTCCATTAAAAGTCCTCCAATTTCCACACCTGTGACCTCTTTGAAGCTCTATGGCTGTTGCTGTAACTGGAGCGGGGAACCTCATTTACTTTTTGATGTCTGTAGGATCTTGTAAGCTACCAACTGAAATGGCTGCCT